TATATATATATATATATATATATATATATATAATATAATATAATATAAGTTTATAAATGTATGGTAAATATTTGAAAATTTTCCAAATATTTACACAATTTTATTTTATCTTTTATCCTTAATATTAATATTTTATATTCATCTAATTCTTTTTTTCTTTATGCCTCTCATACGTAATATTCAACAAATTATATATAAAGCAATTATTCGTAGACGTATTAAATATTTTTATAATAAGAAGCAATAAAATTCTCTTTATTGATTTCTGTTCTTTATAAATTTCTAACTATAAAAGACTAACAAGAACGGTATCAAAAATATCTTTACATTTTTATTTATATTTCTATAATAATACAGTATATCCTCCTTTTACATTTTATCAGTCCTTTAGACAGACATTTATCAGTCCTTTTACATTTGACACAAATTCTATATACATAAACATATATTAATATGAACACTCATTACCTTTGTTAAATTAGTGGCAATATTGGAAAAATTCTCAATCACTATAAAATTTACATATTTTTCAGCATTGTAAGTCAATAAAAATTCATAATTTTAGCAAGTATCAGTAAATTATACATCCACCTATATTTTAAATCGAATAAAACAGAAATCATTTGATTTAATAGTTTAATAGTGTAAAATAAACGATAGCTTCAAAATTCTATTAGAAAGTATATATAATAATTATCAAAGATATGCGTAAACTATATTATTAGCATATTATATTGAATAAATATTAGCATTGAAAAATATTCTTTAATTTATTGATAATACAAATATATTCATAACAAATTTCATAAATTTCTTTATGAAAAAATTACTCTACCAATAAATGTAATATTGTATTATATCTGTGTTGTAAAATTTTTATAAACACAAATTACATTATTTAAAATATATGAGATATTGTATTTTTCACTAACTATTCTCGTTCATTTTGCAGTTCATACGAACTGCTAATCAACGTTGGAATAAAAATCTTTAAAATTTATGATCGCGCAGCTTATCATTTTAACCTAGAAATTTGAATTTTTATGCTCATACATGTTTATAATAACAAATATATATATAAAGTCTTGTGTTTAGAGTAAACTAAAGGAAAATTGTAATATAAAAAGAACTTTTTTTTTTATCGATAGCATGATATAGTTGTATAACATAATCGCTATCTCACTTTCAAACAATAAAATCTTATAATGTATTATGTATTTTATTCCTCATTATAAATAATATTATTTAAATAATTATGTAATTTACAAATATAATTATTATCGTTGTTAATTAGAGCTGAAAAATTAATATAATCCGAAAAACATTCATACATCATTTTTTTCTGTACAATGTATGAACGCCTCTTATTTATTTCAAATTTACTTTAATCTTATCTTCTTTTTTATTATGTTGTTCTTTGTTATTGTTGAAAATATATTCCATCTCATACAACGAAGCTTATTTACTGTAATATGTGCGCACAGTCTCAATTTTCTCCATTCCAATACTTTCTCTTGATTTACCTTATAAGAGTACCTACTTTTAAGCCGATAGTGCTGCGAATAATTATACTTTTAAATGTTGAATAAGCAAATGCATAAAAAAACTAAATAAAGTTATAAAAGTTAATTAATCTCTTACTTCCTGTATTGCAGGTGAAGCGATGGACATACTTGCCCTAATAAATTCCGCAATCAATTTCATTCTCTACTGTGCGATGAGCCGACAATTTCGCATGACTTTTAATCAATTATTCTGTCGATCGAAACTGTTGAACCGTTGGCTTCCGGTACCACTGCATGCTGAAAACAACAATGGCAATATGATGACGAATCACACGATGACCCAAGTCACACAAGTTTAACATCAGCTTGCCTGGTCAATGTTTTGCTGTTATCATTCCTAAAAATTATCTACGAACTTAGACGTAAACGACAACATAAAAAAACAATAAGTGTCCCTTACCACAAATGTAGAGTAGAGCCGTTGGTTATATGAATTTTACGCAAGGAAACATCATCTCAATACCGAGCAAAAATTTCAATATCAATAAAGCTTATGTATCTCTCTCCCCCCCCCATCACCCCCTCTCCCCCTCCCTACCTCCCTCATCCCACCTACTCGCTCCTCTTATTTTAATTACAATAATAGCAGATAAATAATAGATACTCAACTTAAGGTCATTTGCATTTGCCTCGATTTCAAATATAATAATCATTACTCATAAATATAATAAAATAGTAAGCAATCTATGTGTATATTTAAATATTTTGCGATTTCTTTGAAAATAGCATATACAATCATGATTTGGTATTTCAGAGATATAAATAATATTGTAATTATTAAGTAAAAATTACAATTTTACTCATTATTTTCAAACTATAATTATTGCATTGCAAATTTTTTATGAAATTTATGTACGAGGATAGTCAAATGATAAAATCCTCACAACGAGCCGCGAGTTTACGAACGATAAATTAGTTTACTTGACAAGTTAATGATGAAAAATAGCTTCTTGTATATTTATGACATTTAATATTTATGCATTAGTATATTAAATAAACTGTTAATAGCTTACGTTAAATGTTGTATTGAACAATCCAGATATTAATATCATGATATATCGTTGATATTTATCGAGAGTACTCCATTCAACAATTAATTATCAATTAATATTTCAGCTTAAAATCACTCGATCACTCAATATAATATAAGAAATTGAAGTAAAATGCAGGTCGTAAAAGAAAAAAAAAAATCCCTTCAATTCTCAAAGCGCTTTGTAAAAGCAAGCATCGGGTGACTTTGTTTTTACAAAATGGAAGACAGAATTAATTGTGTTGCAAAAAAAAGAAAAAAACATAAATTAGCAGTAGTTCCATGTTACATCTTGTAGTTTACATTTATATGATGTAAGAAGAAAATTTTAAGTTTAATTTACTTGCATCTCATTTCAAAAACTAAAGTTGTCGTCCTATAATTTAGAAATGTATTTAGACTTACGTATGATCGCTAGGATCTCGATGTAATTAAATTCAATATAAATAGCTGAATGAATAATTTCATTGCTTATTCGGAAAAGCGATTAGTAAAAGCGAAACAATGTACATGAATTTAAAAGAATAAGAATGAAAACATTACTTATAAGAAAATGTCGGTTACGGCAATTTACAAAATTAATAAAAAGACACTGTTAAAAGAACATTGCATTGCCTTAATTAAATTTTATTTAAATTAATACAAAAAAAAAGTAAGTGATTTTATGTTTCCATTAGAATGAAAATGTTGACTCTACGTGGAAAATGAAGGAAAAAATTTGTAAATAAATAATTCAACTGTCACGCCAATTTCTTTATTATTTTTATGAAATAATTGAAAACTTTGAGTTAAAGAAACAAGAAAATAATTACAGAACCGATACTTTATTTTAAAACGTATTATCTATGTGTATATTTTATATTAATAATTATTCTCCTTATTTCATAAGAATTTTTCGTTCTTTCGGTCTTTTATGTATAATTTCGCATTTATGCCTTAAGCTAAAACTCGAGAATCAATAAAGATTTCTCGATTCCTGAATTCAAAAGAAATTCCCTCCTAATTATTATATATTACTTTCAAACAATGATAGAGAAATATTAAAATTAACAGAAATGTAAATCCAAATACACTGGTATTATCCTTTAATAATAAACTTTAATAATCTATTCTATTATATACAGGGACATATATTACATACCATGAATACTTCACTTTAATATTTCCTTTTAGTCGTCTATTTTCGTTATTTGTTTATCTACGATATTCTTACATATATCTAAACAATCTACCGTATTTTAATTAATTATGATAAAATAAAAATTATATAAAAATGAACATAGTTTGAATTATATCAATTATAATAATTGAAACGTTTTGCACGTGAAATAATATTTTGAAACATTCTTGAACGAGTAATTTTAATGTTTAACAAATTAAAATACGTAACCTTTGATTTATTATGAATCTAAATTAATAATCAAATATTTTAATATGAATATCAATTAAAACAATGACGAAAATAATTTTTGAAATAAAATAATGAAGTATGTAATAACTTTTCAAGGATGAAAAATTACTAATTTAACACTTTATAAATTAAAATGTAGAAGTATGCAAAACAGTTGAAGTTGTTTTTTTTTCTTGTTTGTCAATGTAATTTTACTGAACTTTTTTTTCTTCTTTCTTTTTTCATAATAATCAACCCGAAAAACTTTACTTTTGTTACTTTTATCTTCAACGGAATACGAATTGCAACATACCATAACTAATCCTGTGATAATAACTAAATTCTGAAAAACAATTTTATCCTTTTATCCCTACTACGTACTTTTAACTTACGGGCAATTATAAATTCAAAATTCACGCGATCATCATAGACTCTTGACTATGTAAATTGTAATCAGACAAACAAATAATGTAAAATTAAGAATTTCTAACGAATGACAAAAAAAAAAAAATTTTATTGTTGAACATCTTAACGACTAAAGGAATTTAATCTCATTATAAAAAACACGGTGATTATAAAATATATATTAATTATTGTTAATAATAGTTTACGCAATCACGTCGAGATTTATTTCGTTTCTGAAAGTATAAATGGAATTAAGGAAGAAAATGCGAAATTGTTTTTTCTTTAAAAAAATAGCCCCACAGGGAACTCGTTTGAACTAAATATAGTTTATTATTTAATTGAAATATTTTTCAATTATACAATGTAAATTTGAGAATGGCGATAAGCAAATTTATGTTATCGATCATTGAAGAATGTAATAATAATAATACTAATAATAAATTATTGACTAATAGATAATGACAATAATCAAAATTTCAAAGCAACCTATACAAGTTACTCGCATAATTAAATCAATAACAATTTAATTGCAAATTTATATTTTTGTTTTGATCAAAAATTAATTTCTTATCCTTTTGTTTCATATTATTAAAATAATCGATTGTTTAAAATAAGTATAAAAATATTTGTATATAATATAAATGCGCATTTAATGTAGAAAAAGTCGATGAAAAAGAAATGTCGAGATTAAATTTGATTTTTTTTTTTTTTTTTGGAATGCATTATATAATTTTTGTTTTTAACACATTGACTGATAAAAATTATGATTTTCATATGCATAGATGGTAAGTATACATTAATATATATGATTTTTATTCCTTTTAATTAAATATTTTAAATAACTATATGTTTCAGTTAATTATATAGAATTCTTTAAGAAGGAAAATATAAAATATATTTTCTCTTATTTCATAATTTATTTTTAATAAAAATATTTACTCGATAACATTCTTTACATTTTATTAAGAATGTATGAAATTAGTTAGCAACGTTATTAAGCTAAGATGAACCTAATAAAATATATCTTTAATAAATATTTTATTAAATAATTGATATATATATATATATGTATTCTAAATTGTATTATAGAATAACATGTCTTTATTTCTTTATCTGTAATATCATTAGTTGACATTTAATGAGTCGATAATTGAAATTATTTTATCATTCCGTAAGTGAAACACACGGATTTAAGTCTGTGTAATTTGCGTGTATTATTGTTAAATGATTTTATTATCTTAAGACGGGATATAATTATATTCTTAAGAATTTTATGAATTACAATAGCTTGTTGTATATTATTTGATACTTCTTTCAAAAACTATTTGGACTTTAAAATATACCGTGTGCTATCAAATAAATAAATTACATAAATCACCCTCGGTTTCTCTAATTTCTAAAAATATAATAGCACGGAAAATGTAACGTATGATTATAATTCTTATAAAATACCTTTATAAGTATGAAAAGAAAATTTGAATTTTCTTAGTCGCTTTAAAGCCTTAGAAATAAATATTCATTATATACTTATTCTATTCTAAATACGACAATTGAATATTTATATTTAAACTTAATAATGTCGATGTCCATAAAATACATAAAATAATATTCTTAATAATAGCGATGCAGCGCACACAAAATTACATTCGTCAGTTCGTTAAATTAAAGGTACTATTTGTGAGCTTGGATTATATGAATGATAAAGTCGTAAGTAATTGCGAGAAAGAAATGATATTCATAAGAGACATCCTATTTACTAAAGTATGTCTAATGATCGAATAGTATATTTTCAAGCCACAAGCTCATTTTGTGACCTAATTAGCAGTCAAGGCAATAAAGTCCACGGATCGTTAACGTCCCCTCGTAGCCAATGCCACTAAGTATATTATATACGCTTTCTCTTATGCATTCTCCGGTTCGCCTATATATACGCGTCCTTTGTGCATTTCTCTATACGCGTGAATATCACATTAACTAATTTCAGATGGGCGGAAATTACCGCGACCTCTAAGCAGTACACACAACGTACCAATCAGTTTGCTAACTTTGCTATTAAATTGCTACTATTAAAGTGCCACGGGTCAATTGCAAACTTCTCGTCCATATTGTTAAGTATTATCCTGTTCCTCCCCAGAGTCAGCCTGCTTTCGACATTATATAAGTCATATACTAGCCGTATGTACACGTAATTGCTCAAGGGGAAGAAAGTATTGACTAATCTTGGACATGTGCCTCTAAATACAGAATTCGAGTGGACGAAAAGGACGAGCTTTGTAAGTTGTCTAGGATATTATTTCACGAGTATAAAGTTTCTCTGTTACGTGGTCATCCCATGTATATATATATATATATATATATATATATATATATATATATTATTGCCCGCGTTTTCCTATTACCTACTTTCTACGCAAAATCATGTAACTTTCGTATTTAAAATAAAAATAGATTGATAAAGAGAAAGTCTTACATAAGTAAACAATGCCATGTGTTACACATTGTATTTCTATAATAATTTATCATCAAAATAAACTGTAGCTCCAACGAAGCAAGATAACGACACAATACTATAAATACACTAATAAG